GAAAGAAAGAAAGAAAGAAAGAAAGAAAGAAAGAAAGAAAGAAAGAAAGAAAGAAAGGTTTCTGCTCACTGATTCCATCAGGGGACATTACCAAAAATGAGAATTGCCGATAAGTTTAATACCATGAATAATCAAGAAAATGTTAACAAGGAAAGTCAAAGGTTGCAACTTAAGATCAATTTGCCAGTTATATTTTTAGACCCTATATGACTCCTACACATTCATCTACTGCTTTGTAAAAATTGGAATACATACTGCAAGCATTACTGTATGCCAGTGAAGTGTATTTTCTTTCTTCCCCAAATGTACCCAGTACATAGAATATAGTTGTCTATTTTTAGACAAAATGCTGGGAGGTGAACTTGAAGCAAGACTTGTTAAAAGCAGTTTTTCCCCCAGCTTTTCCTCTCAGAAATGTTGCTAGCAATTCCATAATTGCCAATGGGTAAAGAGAGGAACAGGAGAAGCAGGACAGAAGCACCATTAACCTAGCACAGCAGGCCACAGCTTGCTAAAGGACTCCAAACAAGTCACCAGGGCTTTCTGCTCCCTACACCAACGAAGCTTTGGTTGACCTACAGGATCCTGCTGTTATCTCAGCCAGGCAGTCCTTTAGAGCCACAGGAAAAAAAAATACACTTTAAAATCCCAGTCCCAACCCCTGCAGTGTTATACTGAGAGATCACAGGACAGCAGCCTTGACAGCCAGTTGAGCATCAGTGGTGGAGTTGCTTCCCTTCAGAAGGAGCCAGCTGGCAGCAGGGGGAAAAAGCTGGTGCCAGAACTGGCTCATTCCAGTCTCCTAACTTTGCTACTGAACTGGAAGAAGGCAGCTGCCTGGAGTTGAACAGACAGAGGTAGTGGGAAATGTAGGTATTTGTCATTTTTCTTCCTGTTTACTTTTATCCTTTTTACTCAGACGTTAATGCCCACGGACTCTGAAGCAAATTGCGGCAATTTAAGCAGCTTTTGGAATCCTGCTTTTTAGGCCTTTAGCTCTCTGCCTGGTTGTTAAAGAGATACAGCAGTGCATGAAATTCATTTCATTCGTACTTACTAGGACAAGCACGTATCCCCTACTGAGCATGGATAAATATTTCCCAAGGGCAGATGCTCACCTGGGATTATCAGGTGACATCCCTAGGTGATTTGGGACAGTTGGAGGGCATGAAAGTTCCCTTGAGCTAATTTGTTTCATTCTATATGCAGAGGATACATGTCAAAGCAGGTGCTCTTAAAGGTTATCAAATTGTGTCTATGTGTCTGTTTTGGGTACAATTCAGATATGGTATACAGGTAGTCCTCGACTTACAACCACAATAGGGACCAGAAAATTGGTTGTTAAGTGGTGCTGTTATTAAGCAAGACATCACGTGACTGCACCCAATTTTACATTTTTTGCAGCAGCAATTAAGTGAATCACATGGTAGTTAAGTGAATCATGAGGTTCCCATTGATTTTGCTTATCAGAAGCTGGCTGGGAAGGTCGCAAATAGTGATCACATGATCCCGGAATGCTGCAACCTTCATAAATACATGCTGGTTGCGAAGTGCCCAAATTTTGATCGTGTCACTGCAGGGACACTGCAATGGTCGTAAGTGTGAGGACTGATTGTAAGTCACTTTTTTCAGTGCCATCGTAACTTCAAACAGTCACCAAACAAATAGTAATGAGTCAAGGACTACCTGTAAATGTATACAGGCTTTTTTTCTCTGCCTGCTATTTTTAATATGAATTATATCAAACCAGGAGCATTTCTTGTAACATGAAACACTGAAGGATTGAAGATCTCTTGTCAAACAGAAACAAGTCTAAATTAAGCAAATAATTGCAGGAGACCTATATTCTTTCTCAGGATAAGCAGTTTTTACAAAAAGCTTGGGTGGAAGAGATTTATGTAAGTGGCAACTCTAAATTTAGAATGTTGCTTTTTTAGTTAGTAGACTATCCAAATAGATTGTTGAAGAAGAAATATCAGATGGAGAAGATCATTTTTTTATAGTCATTGTCAGATTGGGTGATCAGCATTATTCACTCTTAAATTTACATGCTCCAATCACAGACTAGCCAAAGCAAGTCCATAATTGTTTTCAACATGTGTATACTAAGTCAGTGGAGCATGTAGTAGTTGAAGGTGATTTGAATTAAATTTTGGGTCCTTGTTGGATCATAACACTCTGTCACCAAAATTACATTGTCAGATTTCTAACATATATCTAGATTATATGTCTGAATTTAATTTAGTCAATATTTGATATTGTTAATCCTTCACAAAAATGATGTGCTTTTAATTTCCTCTACACAGAGGCATAGGAGTCAATTCCTTACCATTATGACATCAGAATGACAAAATGTGCATCATGACATCATGTTGCAAGCTCTACTCTTTTCTACTTTTATTGCAATATCACATGCAAGTATGTAAAAAGTTGCATTGTGACATTACAATGTACATTTCATCATTTGTGCCACACCCCATAAATACCTGTGCACATAGAGACTGCTTTTGACTATATTATTTTATAATTTCCCATTCCTTGATAGTTTAAGCAATTGCTATAGACTGTACTATAATTTCAGATCATGCTCTTGTGAAATTTACTGTTCTATTGGATCAAAATTACATAATGTACATTTTTTGAGTAGTCCTTAAACGTATCTTTCTTTTATTAAAATGGTAGCTTTTTCATATTAAAGGAGACTTGGTAACATCATTATCTTTAGCATGGGAAACTGCTAAAGCATTTATTCTAAGTATTTGTGTGTACATTTCATGTAAAAGAAGCAACAGTTAGAGGAGAATTTGAAGAATTATTATCACTTTATACATTCCATCCATTGGTGGACTGATATATATTTTTTGTCTCTATTAAATATGAATTTAACAAATTTTATATTTCTAAAACAGAATTTCATTACATCGCAAATAGCAATGTTATTAGGAAAAAGGAAAAAAATCTGTTGAGAAGTTACTGGCTTCTAACAAGTTAATCAACTAATATTGTACCATCTATAATATTTAGGACATAAATGGGAGTGTTGTACAAATTCCAGACTCATTAATCAACAATTGTTGGGTGTTATTCTAAACTGCATAATACTCTTCATATACAGAATATGAGATTCTTTAAAAAAAAAAAAAAAAGGGGGGTTTACCAAATCTGCCACAGGATTAGTTCTGTTCATTTCTTAAATCATGGGTAATTATTAATGGTGTGACTTCTCCTTGATTCAAATAATGTCAAGGTAACACTATTGTCCTTTTCTTTTTAATTTGGCTATAGAAGCCATAGCATGCATAACTAGAAATTCTGAAAATATCAGTGGAAGTCCAGTAGGAGAAAACAGTATTTATTACATACTGATGATATTTTATGTTTTAAAAATAGACTAGAAGTCTCTCTCTGGATACTCTGTAAATCAGATCTGATGCTGATAGGTCACAATAACAACATAGAAAATATATTTCGTTTTCCTGGCATAAGAATTTTCAATAGTCCTTCTCAGCTGGAAAATTCGAATTTATCCACTGCTTTGAGGCAGCTGGAAGAAGTTTTAGAAAGATGGTGTAGAATTCTCTTTAGGATCATATAAATGTGATTAAGATGAATGTAACTCCAAGGCAAGGCAGTAATGGGGTACAACCTCAAAAACAACAGAATGATCTCAGTGCGAATC